CCCCAAAACCCCAAAACCCCAAAACCCCAAATAGACCAATTAGAATTGAAAATTTACTAAAGTCTAAAATTTAGAAATGTCAAATTATATCCCTTGTTTTTATCAAAATTCTTCAAAAACCTTTTAAATCAATTTCAACCAGAACTCTTTAAAATTCTTAAAACCTGTTATTGTTACTAAAGTCAAACTTTCTCCTTGGTGGGCTTGCATTAGACATCCAATCAAACACGAATGAGTTCTTGTTTTGCTTTGTTGGCTGAGACTCATAGACTGGATTTGAGGAGATGTCATTCATCACAGGTCTCATCTTGTTAATGCTGATCTATATCAGACATTAGGATAAAATCCTTACGCTATGATCTGGAATGCTTGATATTTTCCTAGTTGATGCTAAACTTTCATCCTTCCCAAACATCTTGCGGACATAGTGTACGAGGCAGGCTAGAGGTTAATCAGAAAGCTTACTTATAACGAATACAAAGACAATGATAATGTTTACTAGCATTACCCAAGTAAATATCGATCTCATAGTTCTACTCCATTCATCGGAGGTGTTGACTTTGAGCAAGAAGCCGAGCAAGATAGTAAAGATCCCTTCATTTGTGAGCTCAAGAATATTGTTAATCACTGCCTCATGTGGTCTTATCACACAAAAAGCGAGGATGTAGAGCACCTGAAATAGAATCATCCCAACAACAAGCAAAGTAGATTCTGAAGAAGAGAATAGTACTAGAAGACCCACAAAGAAAAATCTTCTGAAGAGTATAACTGGGGTGTAAACTCTTGCTAGTCTTTTGTCTCTTAGACCAGAGCTGTACTCCTGTAATTTGTAATGGACCTCTTCCTCATTCTCAGGCTTTCTGCATGCCTGGATTATTGAGATTACAAATATAGATGTTGCAATACATCCGAAAATTGCTGCAAAAATTAAAGATGCAGCCATTGCAATTTCAGACGTATCGAATTCCTTCAATTCTGAGACGACTCCAAGTAAGAGATATTGGAATGCCTGAAGAGCAAGCCTGATATAAACTCCGAAAGTAAAGATCTTGAAGATGGCATTCATTATCTTGTTAAACCTCGCCTTGCTTGAAGTATGATTAACAATTGATGATCTCCTAGGTATCCAAAATATTGTGATATGGATCAAAATTACGATACAAAATGCAAGGAGGACACCGATATTATTTCAAATACTACTTTGATACTCAAGACTAATATTCTTCAGGCTTTGATGCTTCTGCTCCTTCTCGATAGGATTTGTCAGTTTTCCATAAGTTGAAGTTCCTGACAAAGGGAGAAACTTCATTGAGAACATAAAAGTATCCAATCTTTTAATGTAATTTATCACATCTGTAGGAATTTTAGTATTTGTTAATAGAAATAAAGAGAACAATTGGATTTGATTAGCTAAGATCCAAGCAGAAGAAGGAGCAGTAGAAGTTAAAATTGCCACTCCCACTGCAGTGCCCATGGTTGCCTTTGAGATAGCCAAGGAAACATGTCCCATCTCATCATATTTATCTCCAGATTCAGCATCAGAGACTCCATATCCACAAGTTCCATCGCTCAAAAGGCCAAATCCTGTAATTCAGGTTATTCATTGTTTATCATTGTCTTTCTTTCAGACAGCGCACCCTAACACAGTACATTCATTTATGCAAACATCTTTATGAGTAATATTACCTCCTCCACATAAGTAGCCTTCTTCAACTTGACAAGTTTTAGAGCAGCCATCTCCATTTCTGCTGTTTCCGTCATCTCAGTAATTTGGATTTGTATTATTTGGAAGTCTTGTACCATCTCCACACAGCTCATAACATGTATCTTTTGTTGTAGAATTTCCCTCATAACAAATGTAGCCAGTCTCTGTTGTACAGGAACTGCTGCAGCCATCTCCATTAGCTGTGTTTCCATCGTCTCAGCCTATGTACTCTCCTTTGTTTTTCCGGGACATTACGATTCCATCTGCTCAAATATCTGTTCAGGTTGCCCCTGATCAGGTGAATCCTACCTCAATAGTTCAACTAGAGCTGCATCCGTCACCACTAGCAGTGTTACCATCATCACAAGTTTCAGGATTAGTAGTAGTTCCGTCCCCACAGACAGCGGCTAGCTCTCTTTTGGGAGAGACTATATGTTAAGTTTACATAAAAATTGGAGTTCTGATCTTACCTGAATTGCTTGTAGTTTGCAAAGATGCACTCGAGAGATTCGTATTGCTGGGTTCAAGATCAAGAGGCTATGATAAGTTAGAAATTTCACCTTTCAACTTTTCAAAAAATAAATTACCTCTCTTTCCTCTTGAGTTACCGTTTTGATGATCACCTGGCTAAAATTTGATAAGGATTCATGTAATTATCAATAAAACTTGAACAAGATAAAAATGATAAAATTTCCTTTCTCAACTAAACCCCTGAATATCTTTTTGATGATCTATCAGCGTGGTTTCAAGCTTAAGACTCTTACCTGCTTTCTGTTGATTCCTCAATTAGTTTTCCATACACAAAAAGGACGAATAAAGCCCATAATATTATTGCCGTCTTGTGTCCCTATGAAGTAGTTAGATTTTACTGCGAATTAGCCAAGGATCACTGCAAGAAATTAGGCGAAGAGATCTAAGTGAGATTGAGAGCTCTAAGGCTAATTTTTGGGTAATTAAGAAGCCAGGATGGGGGAAGAGGACTAGGGTTTAGAAATGTGGGAGAGACGAAGGGGTAAGGAGATCTTTTATTTGGGGTCTTGATTGAGAGAGAGTTTATTGGTATTGTGTGAGAAGGAGGGGAAAGAAAGAAGAGGGGTATTTGCCATAGTAAATATTTTTAGGGATAGGCAGGTTAAGAATTCTTGTGAGGTCAAAAATATGAGGGAGTTATTTTTTCTTTCGATGGAAGGAGGAATTGTCACTTCTAAGAGGATCTTTTATTTTTGATATGGATAACGGCTATCTAAACGATTCATATTTTATTGATACATAGTATTTGATCCTTTCGAAATATTTGGCTCATTATCAAACTACTAGAACTCTTTTAAGCTTAAATTTTAGAGTTTAAACACAAAATGAAGAATGAGAAACAAAAAAAATTTAAACTTAAAGTAAATATAAAAAAGCTATCAAATATTAGGAGCTATATCCAATCGTTACTTTTAGAATCTACTACCAAAGCCAGGAAGCTATTCTACAATATTTCATATAAACGATAAACACCTCTAAATACTCTCCCAAAAGTCATCCCAACGTCCTTCCCCACTCCCTATCCCCCAGTCACCCTCTTCCCCATCCCCCTACCCCCTCCTCTTTCACCCCAAAACCTACCATATCTCCAATATAATATTCCAATTGCCCATCAAAATCCCGGGGTTTTGGGGTTTTGGGGTTTTGGGGTTTTGGGG